TGTGTGCGTGCGTGTCTGTCTCTCTCTCTCTGTGTGCGTGCGTGTCTGTCTCTCTCTCTCTGTGTGCGTGCGTGTCTGTCTCTCTCTCTGTGTGCGTGCGTGTCTCTCTCTCTCTCTGTCTGTAAAAGGTGCGTGTCTGTCTCTCTCTCTCTCTGCGTGTGTCTCTCTCTCTCTCTCTGTCTGTGTGCGTGTCTGTCTCTCTCTCTGTGTGCGTGCGTGTCTCTCTCTCTGTCTGTGTGCGTGCGTGTCTCTCTCTCTCTCTGTGTGCGTGCGTGTCTGTCTCTGTCTGTGTGCGTGCGTGTCTGTCTCTGTCTGTGTGCGTGCGTGTCTGTCTCTGTCATTGCTTTTGAGAGAATGAAAATAGATTATATATCGCTTATCTTTATAATGAATATTATTGCTGCCATAAGTGAATTAAACCTCTGAATTCATTGATGATATATTCTCTCTATAATTACTTTCCCAATCAGTACCAGTTACTTTATGCTATATCCATTATCAGTCATAAGAGATTTACCAAAGTTTTTCGGATTTGATTTTATCCATAATTCAAAAGCAAGCATCATCACAAAGCCATTTTGCTTGCCTCACTTTCTTTTTTTTTTCTACTACTCCCACTCATTCACACACACACATCTAAACATATGCAATAGTTGTTTTTATTTATTTTGAGAGTGAACAGATTTTCCTTTATTAAATAATTTCATATAATTATCATCATGCTTTGGTTACCTTTCAGGATGTAAAATAAAGGAAATGCTGAAAGGCCCCATTGTTTCTTATTCCATAACCTATGATTTAGTAGTGCAATTTTTTTTAGTGTTTTACTAAATGTGAGGAGGCACAGTGCAGTAACGGATAGTGGCTCGGATTGAGGAATCGGAGACCCGAGTTTGAATTCCAGTCGAATCCATTACATTCACTTATGTGCTAATACCCTTGGGAAAGGTATGAATCCTCTTCTTCTCCCCTCTTCCAGCTATGGGTAAATAGAATAGATCAGGTTCTATAGCCTTGGATGGCAACCTACTGCGAGAGAAAAATCTGCCTTGTCAGTCATGTATCAAAAGATACATGATTGCCTAAGTGTGTATCACGCATGGCACATAATTGACTAAATGTGATTGCTGAATATCCAGCTTGAATGTCTTTTGTTGTTTAGTTCGATTTTCAGACAGCATTTATAGTTCTAGCAGATTCAAAAATTACCATATTGGCTTACACCTGCAAAAGTATTTCTATAACATAAACTACACGACTTACATCATTGTATCAAGTCTGTTTTACGGAAGTTTTCATTAGATTGCTCGTCTGGCAACTGTGCTTTGTGTGCTCCTTATTTAAGATGGGAGGAGAGTCCAAATTCCGGGGGATTCCAACCCGGCGCCTGCATTTTCCTCATTGCACTAAGATTGGTGGAGTCAGCGTGACGGTGATTGTGGGGACTGTGTAACACCCTGCTTTAGTAGAGAGGTCAGGTAAAATGGTTTCATAATAAAAGTTTTAGAGTTATCTCCCTTAGAATTTTAAATACGCAGGAGAGTATAAGGGAGATAATTCGGCTTTGGCAGGTAGGCTGTTATTGGTATGCCATTTAATATCATTTTACAAATATTTTGATTATCCTTAGTGATAGCTTAATAGTTTGAATTTAGTAACTGCCATTATTCAGCGTTAGAATTAACTTTTTGAACCGGTGGGTGAGAAGGTGATATCTTGTTATACCAAATATTCTCTAACCCCCTTCATTGTGAAGCTTGCTTCACATTCATTTTGTTTGTATATTGTTTTAAAATTTTCATATTTTGCCGTTTCCTCTTTTATCTGATTTTTTTTTTTTTTTTTTTTTTTTAATTCTGTGATTTTGATCTTAGGGCATTAAATTAAAAATGCAGATATTTTGAAATTTCAAATTAAGCCAATAACTGGCCCAGTAAACAATGTTTACATCTTCTGTTTCTAGGAGTTTTGTGACATAAAGAATGTCATTATTTGCTGTTGGTTTTATAAATATTAATTTCAGAAATTGAAAATGATATTGGTTAAAGGACTGAAGTATTTTATTTATTTTATTTTTTATTTACTTGTTTTTTTTTTTTTTTTGTTTTTTTTTTTTTTTTTTTTTTTTTTAAATAAAAAAGCAAAGTTAACCAACTTTTCAAACATTTCCCCAAAACTTTCTAAGGAATTAATGAAGCTTTTTTTAAATTTAAAAAAAAAAAAAAAAATTTATTAAATATTTCATTTTTTAAACATCATTTCAACACTTATTTACATTTTCTACTATATTAATATACATTCTGTTAAATAAGTTTTTGTATAATTTTCTAAATCTTTTAATTTTTGTAAATGATTTTTAAGTCTTGTATTTTTCTTCATAAAAATAGTATATTGAAATCTTTGGAGGGTTATTTGAAAAGCTTTGGTTTAAAAATTATGCTCATTTTCTCTCTTCATTTTTTTTTTTTTTTCCTTTCACTCTTGTTTTGCATATACTTAGATGGGTCAGACGAAAGACCTAATGGGTGAACTGACCCACAAATGCGACCAGTACACAGAAGAAGTAAGCAATCTTCGGCAAGAACTTGGCAGTATGCTGGAAGACTACCGTTATCTCAGGGACAAAAGTAAATTGGTAAGTATAAAACACATTACTTTGTATATGAAATCCAAGCCAAAAAATAAAGACGTTAAATGTTTAGATATTTTTGCTAACCTGTTGATTAGCATTTTCTTGTGAATTTGCATAATATGTATCCTAGGTTAACAAGTAGTGAATTCTTTTTCTAGGTAGTGATAGATTGACTTACAAATTAATGGCAAAAACATAATGCACTAAAAAATTATATATAATGATCATTCAGATATCTTGTTTTCAAACTAGTTTACTAATTCTGTCAAAAATGACAGTGTATTTGTCATTATTTAGTTTCACACACGTCTCTTTAAAGATATAAATTGATGGCAATTTTATTGCTCTTTTCTGTATGACGTTAAACTTTATTGGTACATTCAAGAAATGCCTTTTTAAATCATTTAACCTTTAGCACTCTGCATTATTAATATTACTTCCCTTTCCACTGCATTCTTTTTCAAGGCCTCTCAATTGTAGTAACAATATTGTTAATTTCACTCAAAGTTGTTTTCCATAGGATATGACAGCACAATTATGAAATTCAAACATACTATTGTTCAGGTATTGGAGTCACCTTCAGTGGCAGGAAAAGCTTTTTGTACAACAAATAAAGTAACATACAGAGTGATAAAGTCTAAAAGAAAGTAAAATAAATAAAAAGCAAAGTATTAGTAGAATGGTTTTTCCTACTTAATGATAATCTATTAGCATTGATTAATTCCTTTTGTTAATACAGAGTATGACAGATACTTCCCACATAATGTCTGTGGGAGATGTTTTTGCCACACCTTGTATAATGTTGAAATATTTCTTTACTAAAGAGAGATCAGTTTACCTGAACAAAGACTTATGAGGTTACATTCTGTTTCATATTAGAGAATACATACAAAGTATTTATCAAGAATGATTGGTACTTTTGTCTATGATCAGTGTACTATCTATGCCATTTGCCTAATGTAGTATTTGCAAGTTAACTTTATCATACTGCTTTAGCAGAAGAATGTTGGTATAGTGGATATGTTGCTTGCTTACCTCCAGGTTGGAGGTTCATATTAAAGCAGAATTTACTTATTTCATCTGTTTACTGTATTTCAGTGAAAAAGTTTCACATGATATACAAATACATGTGGCATATTATGCAGTGGATAAGAGAGATTCTGATTTTTTTTTTTTTTTGTTACATTCACTTACATGCAAACCCTTAAGATAGAATCCATATTTCTTCCTACCTCAGCAATGAGTAAATAGCAAGACAGACAGGGTCCTGTAGCTTTGGGTGGCAACCGGTACTAAAAGGACAACTCTTGAGTGGTCAGATCTAAACCAGCTCTCCTACTAGACCCAGTCTGGTGAGGTGGGTAAGTGGTGCAACCCCCAGCATCACCCAAAAAAAAAAAAAAAAAAAAAAAAAAAAAAATGACAAGATCTGTTAGGAGGGCAGATTAACTCCTTAATCACTGGCTATCCATCTAGCTATGGGTTAAATATCCTCACCAACCTGCAGTTGGCTTGAAGATGGTCAATTAGGGAGGGGTTCCTTCAACAGGAGTGAGACCTTTTGATTTGGATCATAATGTTTTGGCCATTGTGCTCTCCAACCTTCATTCTAGATCAACAAATGCTTGATGACGGCTGGAAGGCACAATGAGGGAAATTTTCTAATAACAACAAAGATCACATCAATAGACAAATGTAAATATTAGTTTCCATTCAAACAAATTTTTTTTTATATTATTTTTTTTTTACTTAAATTTTTTTTACTTAAATTTTTTTTTTTACTTAAATTTTTTGTTTTTTACTTTTTTTTTAAATTTTTTTTTTTTTTTTTTTTTTTTTTTTTTTTTTTTTTTTTTTTTTTTTTTTTTTTTTTTTAAACTTTTTTTTTTTTTTTTTTTTTTTTTTTTTTTTTTTTTTACTTTTTTTACTTTTTTTTTTTTTTTTTTTTTTTAAATTTTTTTTTTTTTTTTACTTTTTTTTACTTAAATTTTTTTTTTTACTTAAATTTTTTTTTTTTTTTTAATTTAAAAAAAATTTTTTTTTAAAATTTGTATCACCTGGCATTGCAGTGTTTTGTTCTCCTACTCAAACTCTATTATACATCTTAAGTAATTTCCCTCCTCTACTCTAGTACCTGTAATGCTTTGTTAGGGTTAAAATGACTTAATCATTAAGTGTTTTTGTAATGAGATAAAGAGGTTACTTTTTTCATATAAATGTGTGTGTATATATATATATATATATATATATATATATATATATATATATATATATATATATGGATTCAAATAGTATTGTGATTTTCTTTCTCTTTTTAATGATAATGTTATTAAGCTTATCAGACAATATGAAAAGAATTTACATAAAATAGACAACACTTGTCTATATTCTTTAATGAAACATGTACGAATATATATATATATATATATATATTTATATTTCGACCTTGCTAACCGAAACGCTCCTCTGTGGCAAAATCAGTAAAGCATGTCAGGCTATATGACATTTCCATATAGGATACAGGTTTGATTCCTGTCGGAGGACACATTTTCTATAAAAATTTCTCGGACATTCAGGCCGATAAATGTCATTAATATTGTTTATTATAAACAAACCATTTACTTAAATATTTGTATCTATAAAAAGAATGTATAAACATAAAAAATTGTCTTAAAATATATATAATTTGAATTGGGCAGTAGACATTAATTTCTGCTGTTTTTTTTTTTGTTTTTTTTTTAAAATGTAAGGCTGTCAACTCAAACATGTGTGGCCACTAACTCTAACATTTATGGTAATAAAAAATGTCTGATTAAAAAAAACTCCATTGTTAAAAAAAATATTTTTTGTACCCAAAATGTAAACAATTAGCAGAATTTGACTTTGAAAGGTCTTAAAAAGAATTTTTTTTTTTTTTTTTTTTTTTTTAACCGTAATTGAGCCTCACTTTGTTGTGATGGCTTCCTCTGGCTTAATGGTAAAGCACACTTGGATCAAAAGTGCTTTTCCAGATTAAAAAGAAAATACAGGTTTGATTCCTGTCAGACTTCTGATCTCTAGGCCAGTAGATATTTCAGTTAAAAAAAAACAAAACAAATATAACAAGCATGTTTACTCAAACGCTTGTATCTACTAAATATGTTTGTAGTGAGGAAAAAAAAAAAACTATTGTAATTTTTAATAAGTATCTAAATTTGTAAGTAAATATTACATAAATAAAATATAAATAACCTGACATTCCAAATCTCAGATGAAAGAGCCTGAGAAAGTGTTTGTTAGGTGGAAAATTTACATTTAGATTATTGTCCTCATCTTTGTTGCTACTATCACAATGTTTCAAGTGTTGGGCCCTCTGGCCTTCTTCAGGCATCTGTTGGTTCAGGTAACCTTGAAGAAATTTTAAACTGAAACTTTTATGTAATATACAGGTGTAGATAGTTCTTGTTCCACTGTCTGTCTCATTCACTTTTTAGTACTACTTGGTTATTTCTCACCCCGTTTCCACTGAATCTAGCTTACGGCCACATCACACTGTAACATCACACAAGTTAAGCAACATCAAGCCTGCTCAGTATCTAGAGGGGTGACTGCTGGAGAATATCAGATTCTGTAAGCTTGGATGTGCAGGTTGTATAATGGAAAAAAAATACCCGGAATTGGAAATTGGAGCAGGTTCCTTGGAAAGGCATGAATCTGCCACATCTCCCCTCAGCTATGCGTTAATTAGCAGGACTTGTATAAGTAAATCATTATTATATTCTCCCCCCACCCAAATTATCACAATCTAAAAATATTTTCTGGCTTTTAATAACTAGCAAAAGGTTGATAAGCCATAAAATAATTCAATCATGAATCCTGACTGGATGGACCAAAGTCTTAATCTTGAATTTGCTTCTTCATAGGTCATACCAGTGAAATACAATCCTAGTAAAAACTGTGCTGATTTTGTCTTGCGACTTGTATCAATAAATCATTATCTCAAAAAAATTATTACAATCTAAAAATATTTTCTGGCTTTAAATAACCTGCAAAAGGTTGAACAGTTATTAAAGAAGAAACCTAAAAAAAAAAAAAAAAATCAAATAATCCACTGAGTCTCACTCTATACTACCCAGTCCAGAGATTGAACTCACAATTCATGGACCAACACTTTAATCCTCTAGTTTATTGTCTCCTGTAGACCTAGGCACAATGGAAGCTGGCTGAACAATGATGGAACAATACTAAATAAGAACAAAGAACAAAGCAAGATATCCTTAGATATAGATGGTGAAACAAGAACAATCTACCCCCGTAGATTAAATAAGGGGTTCAGTTCAAAATTCCATGAAGGTTACTGAGATAAAGAAAGGCTGGGGGGGGGCATAATGGCTGAAATGTGATAATAAAAAGGATAAGGACATTCGTCCTAATGTAAATAGCAATACCCTTCATCCAAGAAATTCAGACAGATGGAAAATTTCTGAGTTTCATCAAATGTCATGAATCAGAAATGTTAGATTTTATTCACTGGCTCAATGGTTAATCTGACAATGTCTTGGAAAATTAAAATGAAAAAAGAATAATATAAAATGAACTGGATGCAGCAAAAATGTTTACATAATCATCTTTTTGCAGAAAACTGCACATTGTTGAAATTCATTTTGAAAAGTAAAGTTTATTTATCTTTTCAGCTGTCGTTCATCTCCAGCATTCCTCTGTTGATTCTGCTGTTTGCAGTCCTTTTGGCCTTGTATCCAACTCTAGAAGGAATCACTGCCACCTCAGCTTCCGAGGTGAGCTGGGGAGAGCGAGAGACAGCCACAGACCATCTCCAGTCATGAAGAGGGACGACACCACCGACACCAAGCAGCCAGCAGCCAGACATAAAAATGAAACCAACACTATTTCAGCTACTACCAACTAATCTTACAGTGATCGTGAATGTCTAAAATAGTCATTTACGAGAAAAGAAAATGCACACATTTTAAAAAGTAAAAGAACCAAAAGAAAAGAGTCGACTTTATTAATTTTGGCTTCTTTTTCAGGATTCTTGGCACCATTACCATCATGACTGCAAAAGCGTCATCCTAAAAATGGCCTTATCGGAATTGCAAATATTTCTTCTCATCTAATAAATTGGTGCCTGGTATCTTCCTGGCCAACAGTGTGCAAGTGTACGTCTCACTCTCTCTCTCTGTTCTGTTTGTGAGCTTTTGTGCTCTCGGGGGGGTCAGTTTCCAAGGTCATCTGGCCAAAATTCATCTACTTACTGATCCCTGTCTGGTCCTGTCTCTCTCTTCCCTTAATGTATTTCTTCATTTTTCCTTTCTTTCTTTCCTTTTTAAATTTGTCTTTGCTTCTTCTCTTCCTCATTTGATACATCTGTCTGTCTGCTGCTGGTTATCCTGTTCAGTAACTGACCATTTCCAGGACACTCACCCTCCCCAAACTTCTCAGTCATGCAACTGACCATTGCTGACTACTACATACTGTGCTTGTTGTGCTGCTGTTGGTCAGACTGACTGGCTTTTACAGTGTTTCTATATCCTTGTGTGGGTGTAGATGTACAGGGTGGGGTTTAGGAGTGGGAGCCACTAAGACTGGTCATTTGTTTTTATTATTTTGATTGGCTACTTTTTTTTTTTTTATTATTATTTGTTCTTGGACCAATTTATAAATGGTAATGTTAAGTGACCATTTATATATTTTACATGCATTTTTTTTTGTGGCTGCTATTGTTAGAACCAAGATTAATTGACTGTTAACTAAGTGTGGGGTCATACTTTTCTACAGATGAGGTCAGCCATTTTTATTTTTATTTTTTTTTTTTTTTTTAATCATTAAAAAACACTTTGGGACCTCAGTTTTCTTTTTTTTTTTTCTTTTTTTTTTTTTGTTATTCTTCCTTTTTATTTATTTATTTATTTTTTTTTTTTTTAATCAGGAACAAAGAGAAAGTTAAATACATAAAGAAAAACCTTATTCCCTAACAAATAAAGAACAACTTGTATAATATAATGATTTTAAGTTTTTTATTTTAGGCTTCTTAATAAAATTTAAAATAAGAAGCTAAGTAAATAATGGTTACACTTTTATTTATTTTTTATTTCAAAAATGCCTTACTGAAAAATTCTGACAGAATTAACAATCTCATTACCAATAAAAAAAAAAAAAAACCTGGACAAATTTTACTAAGAGTAGAAAACAATGCAGAAGAAAAAAAAAAACTTTCAGCAAACCTTGCCATAGAATAGTCACATGACATATACCTAAAACCATATTTATTAATAATATTGGACTTAATGTCATTTTCCAAAAAATGACTATCAGGAAGGTTTGCAGTGGATTTTAATGTGTTCTACTCTTAATAGAGATGGAGAGTGAAAGACTACTAATGCTGTCAAGTTTTGCAAAGGCATGTCTAAAATATGAAATGAATCGAAGAAAAGAAAAAAGTGACCATAATAATACTATTAGCAATGATGATAATGAGAATGAACAAACACCTTCATGTTGTCAATTCTAACAACACCAACTTTCGACGCGTTCTGTTCCGCTTTCTTGCTGGTCACTTTGTTAATAATTACTTACTTGAATAAAGTAAGAAACTAAACATGACACTTTCCCTGGGCTGGCTCGACATGTGCCAATTTTTCTTGTCTTCCGTGTGGTCCATATATGAATAAATGGTGGGCTGGCCCACTAATTCTGTAATGGAAGAGGAAGGTAAGCTACCAGGGTACCATTGTTGTGTTATATGGGTCCAACCGATTGCTGTATGCAACCATTTCTGCCTTTTTCTTGTTTCCTTCTTAAGCTTACAAGGAAAATCTTGACAATGGCCGACTGCAGCACTTTTTTTTTTTTTTTTTTTTGCCATCTCTTAAAATACTGTCTTTTCAAATGTTCTGCTCCTACTTTGTTCAATACAAAACTAACTTTAATATAAGCAGGTATATAAGATCAAAATCTTGAAAACGGATGATGCAATGAATAAGTAACTCTGAGAAATGGACTTGTAGATAGTCAGTATTTGATTACCAAACCAGGTAGTTACTTTTATTTATATTTTGTTGTTTACTGATAAAATCTTCAGGACAGTGTTACTGGGACTGGGGATATTAGTAATTTTAAGGAAAATCAATATGCTTTCTTTATAAATTACAGGTTAACTGCATGTGTATTTTTCAGGGTAACGTACATAACTTGGGTTGAGTGTTATTATAACAATTTCTTTTTTAACTAGTTTTTAATTCTTTTGTGTATGTTTGCGCCAATAAGTAGGCATCTTAGTATTTCACAACTAAATTTTCATTGTAGTCTGTACAACTATTTGTAAAGTCAGCTATGTCATAGTGTAAATGCTTACTAAAAAAAAACAAACCTAAAAGCAGGAATGTAAAACTCTGGTAATATCTTTTTCAATTGGATGCCCACTGTGACTAGAATACTTGTAAAATTGGCAGTATCCTTACAATCTGCAATAGTAAATGTTACACTATGTACTTCATTACATATACAATTATTTAAATCCAGTATCATTGGGCAGCAATTGTTCTTTGTAAACACATTTAAACGTGTATTTAAACACAATAGTCTTTTGTGTCTATTTTTTTTTTTTTTTCTTCTGATGTACAAATATTCTTTCGCAAATGAGATGATTGTGTGTAGATAAATTGACTAACATTCTTGTGTTGAGCTAAGGTTTCAACTCATCATCAGTAGGTGTCAAATGCTTCAGTTAACACGACATACATTTTGGTCACTCTATACACAATCACTACCTTTGTAGAAGAATATTTGTACATTAGTTAGAAAAAGAAATATCAAATAGATATGAAATGTCTATTATTAACAGTACTTTATTTTACACAAACATAAACCAATGTAGATTTTTTATTTGGTTTTAAACCTTCAAATGTGCATCATTTATACACACACACACAAAACATACAGTCTGTGTGCTCTTTATAAAACTGCACATATGTGTTATCTAGGCAGCATGCATAAAAGAATTAAGCTTTTTTTTTTTTTTTAATGCTTATATTAATCTTCTTTTCTTGGATTTTAACTAAGTATATGATAGATAACATCATCCACACACACACACACTTAAACTCCACACTATCTCAGATATTTTTTATTGCAGTAGAATTTCCGCTACATTCTCCAAGAATGAGGAGTATTGAACATTGTTACCTAAAAGCAATTATGATGCATTATCACCCACTTCATTTTCTTAGAGTTGCTTCCCCTGCTTAACACTTTTTACCCACGAAGCACCTCTTTACTTAGGCCCAAATTATTTTTCTTTAATTACTATTGCCAGCCAGAACTACGAGCTTCAACATTAGAAACTGCTCAAACCAAGGTGCTAGAATAAATGATTGCTTCGATTTTAAATTCTATTTGTCTGTATAGGCTTTAAATGTATTTTAGCCCTTGCTTTCTGCTAAGATATTCTGTCGAACTGATTAGCTATTTCTTGCAGACTGTTATTAGTATTGTTATGAATTGGCTCTTAGCCTTTTATTTATTCTGCTTTACCCCTTATTCTTTAGCTAAATAGACAGACTGCACTCCCAATACACTTTTTATATTTTTTCTTTTTCCTTAATCTAATGCATGTGAAGACGTACTTTCATAATCAGAATATAAGATAGAAGAGATTTCAAATCTACCAAAAAGATGTGTAATTTATTTATCTGATAATTTATTTTTTTAATAGCCATGTTGGAATTTAAACAAAACGTTTTGATATTGAAAATTTTATAATTGAATTATTTTGAGCCGTAGACACTGGTCAGTAAGTAGCCCCTTCTTTTTAGAGGAGAAAATGAATGGGAAAAAAAAAAAAAATAACCCCCCAAAAACAAAACAGCTGCTGACCCCTTCACTGAGTTGTCCAGCAGAGCAGCTTTCGTTATAACTAAGGTGTTGCAATCTTATACATGATCATCATCATAATCATCTAACATTCTAATGATTTATGCATGGAGTTTTTTGTTTTTCCCCAAGATCATGTTTGAATTTTTTGTTTAATTCTTTCGTGGTCAGTTGTGTTTAATAATAGGATTTTTTTTTTTTTTTTTGCATATTTTCTACCCAACATAGTCTTTTTAGCCATGGTTTGCTGGTTTTTTAAATTTTATTTTTGTTTATTTTTTTATTTGCTCTTTTTTTTTTTTTTCCCCCACCCAGTAAGCATGATAGAGGGCCAAGGAACAAAAATGTTTCTACCCTCACTGTTTCCCCCTTCCCTACAAAAAATATTAATGCAATGTTTTATTTTTTATTTTGGCATTTGCTGTAAGTATATTCCCAACATCACTCACATGTAATGTTTGATTTATATTGAAATTGTTCATGCCTGTATAAAACAAACCAAAAAAAGTCTAATGTTTTAATATTGAGGTGGACTAGGGTTATGTATTATAGCAGTGTATATACATATTTGATGATAACTATGACAACACTGTGTATATGTATATATCTACCTGTACGTGTGTGTGTTTGTTTTTATATATATATATATATATATATATATATTGATGTTCATAGGTGGCTTGTTTATATCTTATCCTTTGCTACATTGAAGTGTGCTGATTGCCTGGGGTTGACTTATTGGTTCTGTATCCCTTAAAAATGTTCACTTGAATACACAGCCAAGGGGAGGAAAGAAATGGGTGTGTTAGTCATAAACAGAATACTCCTTGTACTAACTATAGTTTGGCACAAGGCCAAGGCCACCTGTTGTAAGATGGTGTTTTTTTTTTTTTTTTACTTTCTGTTTTCTGATTTTTCTTCTCTCTACAGATTTGATAATTAACAGGAATATATAATGGCTTCTCTAAACCTATCTTTATAGGCAGTAATGTTATCCTGTTCTCTAACAAGGATTAGTTTCCGGATTCCCCCCCTCCTCCTCCTCAACCCAGTATTTATTGCATTTGGTGGTATATGAGATTGTACCAGTATATAAGATCTGCTCCATTACACTATTGGTAATATGCAATCTATATTCATTCAAGGATGCCAACAGTGCTTAACCTTGGATAATTTGATATATATTTATTTTTTGTTGCAGGGAACATCCTATATACTGTCCAATACAGCAAATTAATCTACCCACTGATTTAACTATTTAACTTGCTTTCTATTATTATTATTATTATTATTTTCCACATTCTTAGGAAAAAATTAGGGTCAGTTCAGTATATCCAGTTAGCCTCCACAACATCCAGATGTGAAATGACATTAATTTTCAAAAAGGTCTTGATTGGCCTGACTGACTGGCCTGTGAGATCAACATTCTTACTTGCACAAGTACTTAGGATTAAAAAAAAAAACAAAAAAAAAACTGTACTTATATTTATTGATTTAGCATGACCCTGGTCATTTCCTCATCAAAATAGTTGTACTAGTTAATTAGGGAACCTTTCCTTGGTTTCTACTTAAGTCAGGATAGATGTCATATGATTTTACTTTTTGATTGAGCAACGGTTACTTTGTTTTTCCTTTGTTGAGACTGGTTATTCTTGTTATTGATTGAAGAATATTTCAGTATAAAGTTTCTAGTTTCAAATTTGCATTTTGATGTTTGGTTGATAAGGGGACAGAAAATACCTCATCAAAACACTATTAAATTTTCATTAATATATTAAAAGTAAAAAAAAAAAATTGTTGGGCTAAATTTAGTTCCCAATTGAATGATAGCTACTTAACCCCCTCCTTCGTTCTCCCTTTATCCCCCCATTCTCTCTTTAGCTCTCTTCTCCCCTCCATCTCTTTCTCTCACACACACACACTCTCCCCCACTCTCTCTCTCCTTCTTTACTACTAATATTCTTGGATGCTGACTTATGTTTGGGATAATTTCTTCCATTATCATGTTACCTTTTGACCATCAGAGAGCAGACTGGTCAAAAACATTTTTTTCTTTTTGTTATATCCTTTCAGAGCATAAGCAATCATGGCTCTCCACATAATAATTCTGTAAATTGCCAAGCATTGTTGGGAAAGATAGTAGAGTAGTAGCCTTACTCATGGATTGGCATTCAGAGCTTTTTTTCCCTAGACTGGTTGCCACCCAAGGATAGAGAGGCCAATCTACCCTGCTATTTAACCCAGAGCTGGAGAGGAAAAGACATTCATGCCTTTCCCAAGGACATTTGTGTGAAAGTGAACATAACGGATTAGGCTGGAATTTGAACTTGGTTCACCAATTTTATTTTCCATGCTAATAACCATTATACCACACACACACACACATCTAGAAAGTATCAAGAAAAAAGCAAGAAAAATGAAAAAAGATCTGAAATGATATTAAATATTTATTTCTTGTTGGTAACTAGTACAAGTTAGGTATTTTCTTGAGCTTTCATCTGGACATATTTTTATTTTGCACACACAGATTTAAACCTTTATTTTACTCCCTTAAAAATAACAGGCTGGGTTAATCATAATTTCTGGCTATAGGACGACTGGTTTTGATTTGTTCATTAATGGGGCTTATGGCCAGATCATGTTGAAACACTGGTTCCCGTATGATCACCAAAGTTAAGCAATGTCAAGCCTAGTGAGTAATTAGATGGGTGACCATTTGGGAACACCAGGTGCTGTATAGATTGGATGTGAAGGTGGTGTAATAAATAATGGCTCATAATTGGAGAGTAGAGTTCCAATTCCCATTTGGGTTCTTCATATTCACTTAGACTTTTCCTAAGGGCATTTGTGCATAACTTCACCTCTTCTCCCCCCAGCTATGGGTTAATTAGTAAAATTCTAGCACTAAAAACTATTATCACCAAGAAAAAAAATCTTACAATCTAAAAATATTTTTGGTTTTAAATAACCTGCAAAGAGTTGACAATCTATAAAAAAACAAATTGGTCAATCATTGTTCATTAATGGCTCAGTTTAGACTTGGGGGTTTATACTTGGGAAGGTGGGTGGGGCTTAGAATAAATGGCTAGTTCAGATTCTCTATGGATGCATTTTAGGGGAAAAAATTCAAATAAATTTGTGGATTCTGGCAAATGGGTGGAGGGGATCTGCTAAACAGTATTCATGATTTCAGTATTAGTTATTCTAATCTTTGTTGCTTTTGTTAACATTAAATCAGTTTTTATGGGACTAGGGGTCTTAATCAAAAATATTAAATTTGTTGTCAAATTGAAATGTTTACTTTGTGTTGAATGTTGTTTGTTATAAGTAAGGTTGGGGAGGGGGGTGTTTACTATCATGTTGTAATCAATTGTAGGGTGGGATAGCTGGTATGTGTGTTCCTCTCAAAGCAAAAAATTGTACTAAACTATTTCTAGCTAAGTTTAGATATAATGCAGGTAAAACAATGTGTGAACTTCTTTTCAATGACAAAATAGATTTTTCTAGTCAAGGTAGAGATAATGTGAGGTTGCTTAATAGACATGAGGGGATGTAAGAAGTATAGATTATGGGTGGCGGTGGGGGGGATGGAATTGGTTGAACATAAACTTGAAGAGTTTAAAATCATAGTGATTGGGGAAGTATTCTCTTGGGAGTCTCTACTCAGGAAGAAGCTGGAGCTTCTTTCTTACCAATGGAATGCACAAGGAATGAGAAAGATTCGACCATGTGTAAGTGGCATGGTGAGTCCAAGCTGTAAAGGTCTGAACTGGTAGAACTAAAGAATATAGATTGACTGAACATTTGCCATGGAAATAGTGACAAGAGTAGCAACAAACTTGCGATAATTTATCTGTGAAGAAAGGGTTGGAATGTTGAAAATAATTCATTAGAAAAGTGCTCTGTGATAATGGTGGAATCTGGCTTTTTTTTTTTTTTTTTTTTTTAAAAATTACTCTTCTTTGAATCCCCCCCCCCCCCCGATTCTTGTGCTTACAGCACAAAGCCTGAAATATTTCAATTGGTTCTTCTTTTCTTGCCTGTTTAGTGTGTTGGCTACTTCAATATAAATGTGTAAGATTTCTTAAAGAATATTTACAATACATGAACGTGGTGAAAGGGTACATACACAAAATAACAGACCAATTGATTTGCAATGAAAGATAACATTTAGCAAACAAAATTAACAAAATTTTAAGACGAGATTTTCTTTCTTTTGAGTTGGACTTACTGTGTTGGTATGTTTGTGGGTGAAGTGTTCACAGCCCTTTTAGCTTTAGTGTGAAAAGTTCATGTCACATAATTCAAAAGAGGAAAAACTCGGAAGAGGGAGAGCTACTTAAGGCTTTGCTTGTTTTTATACCCCAAAACTGCTTCTGATACAAGGTTTATTAATGGCTGCTACTATGTTTATTAAGGCACGACGCCTGTTATCAAACTTACTAAAGAACTATTAAGGCATGTTTCTTCTTCTCAAAATATCTGTTAAAATGAATGGCCCTGATTCAATGAGATATTTAGCAGTATTTTTCTATTTTATGCTCTAGGCTTGCAACTAAATCAAAAGTGTAATTGGCAATATCCAAGTGATATAGGATAAGTTTTATGAAATAGAAGATGGTGAGATTAATTATTGGTTATTAAAGTGGCTTGTAGTCAAAGTATGGATCAACTGTCTAAAGTTTGTTAATTTCTCATGTACTATAAATCACTGGCCAGTTCAATTCAACATTTGTTATATAAAAATCAACACCTGAACCAGGCAATGGTGTTATAGATCAATAATTATCAGACTTTTGTCTAAAACATCTTGTTTGATCCTCATCCTTGCCATAATTAGAAAATATCTACAAGGAGTATTAAGTAGCATCTCTTTTTATATTTAAAATATATTTTTAATTTTAGAGCTTTTTCTCTTTATTTGTTTTTTCATTTTAAATTCTAATTCTTTTTTTTTTTTTTTTTTTTAATCATGGCACCCAAGCAATGCCATAAAAGCTGCTAGGATGCAAGGAGTTACTGAGAGTGAAAGAAAGGACAATAAAAGAACAGGATTCAAGGGGAACAATAGAATATCTTAACAAGGACAAGTTACTAATGTATTACTTTTTATTAATTTTGTGTTGACTTTCTTTTGGATATTTTTACTTTTTAAGGATTTAAAAAATTAAAATTATTTCTTACTTGTGATAATAGTTAATTCTCAAAATAAAAATAAGTAAAGATTACTTATACTAAAATATATAACCAATGCAATTACAATTATTACTTAACTTTCTGTTAGTATTTTGGGATGTTTGGACCCCCCCCATGTTTTTCTGTAATATTTAGCAAGTAGCAAGTAAAATTTTCATGATTAGTCAAGTAGATTTTTGAATATCTCTCTCAAGTAACTATAAGGAGTTTCTGGTTTTAGTCATAATATTTGTGAATTCACACAATCATTTCACTCAAAGCAAGGCAATAATGAAAGCCATTATGATGCAAGAGCAAGGAATTACTAAGAGTGAAACAGAGGACAATAAAAAGAACAGGATTTAAGGAGACAGAAGATGATTGGCATTACATTTGAATCTTTGAAGTTGACAGGAAAGCTGGAAAAGAGATCCACAAGTAAGAAGTATGTAAGTATTGGCACAGAACTTATATGCTTACATGTAGCAAATTCAACAGTGAAATTGTCAGAGACCTAGCTTCCAACCTAGTACTGTACTTAAACTTATGAAGTCACAGTACTAAAGAGGAAAGCTCATTGGAACAATTTAAATAGATATTTTTATGGGAATTTGAAGCAGAGATGTCAGGCCTGTGATAACATTGTTGATTCTTTTTTGGATTTTGTCAAGAATCTATAGACACATAACAGAAGCATCAGACTAGATATGGCATCAATATTTGATGTATGGATGAATAGTAAACTTATAAATGTTCCAGATTGATTTTTGTCACTCTCACAGACAGCATCTCTGATATCTTTTCCATTTTTCCTTGCAGTGAAAACAAAATATGAAGTATGGCATAATGTACATGCTAATTAAAGGACAACCAGAATTATAATATGATGGTCAGATACATGGAGTGGTTGGGGAGAAATTTAAAACTAAATTGTTTTCTCTATTATATCCCTCTCCCTATTAAAAAAAACATTGTTTCCGTTTTCTCACTGCTTCATATTGCCACTGCCCATAATCCATGGAAGATCCTTCTGAATAAAAAAAAAAAAAAAAATTCAATAGGATTATTTTACTTTTCACAAGTGGAATAATTTGTTTGCATATGTGTGCTGCACACCATTATCGCATTTTTAACTCTTTTTTTTTTTTTTTTTTTTTTTTTTAAATGTGATAAGTGTTTACCTTGTACCATCTCCCTGTCTTGTTTAGCAGAGAGTTGCACAAACTGCTTGTTCTTGGCATACTTATCTGACCCACATCTAATTAACTTTTCTTTTTTTTTCTTTTCTTTAGATGATGGGTTAGAACACCTGTAGAAGCACTGTATTTGGGTAAATTGACAAATTAGCATAATGAAGATTGTTTCTCTTTGCCTTGCATTTTGGGCAGAGAAGAAGCAAAAACAAACAAACAAAATGTTTTTTTGTTTTGTCTTTGTTTTGAATTTCTCTTCTTAGATGATTTATTTCCCATTGTTCCTTGTTAGAAACCAGAAAATATCATCTAGAAAGTTATTGCTACCAGCTGCAACTTTTTACAGGACTTTGTACTTTGTGACTCATGAATTTGCTCTGGCCTATGTTTTTATACTCAGCCCTCTTTTCCTGCCAACAAGCATGTGTGGGTGGTGTAATGGATAACAGCTTGGAATGAGAAATTGGAGAGATAGGTTCAAATTCCAGTTGGGTTCATTGCATTCATTTATGTGCAAAGTCTTGAGAAAGGTATGAGTTAATCTCCCTCCAGCTATGGATTAAATAGAACTTGTACCTGGAAGAATCATTGTTACTCTGAAAAAAAATTAATGCAATATTCATTCACAAAAAAAAAAAAAAAATTCTTACAATCCCAAATGTTTAAATAGCTCAAAGGGTTGATAAGCCATAAAAAAAAAAACAACAAATCAATCAATCCTACCCACAGTTGAAATTGTTCTATGTACTACTGTTTTCTCTTTGGATCTTTATTTAAAGTGAAAATTGCATTTTTTTTTTTTTTTTTTTTTTTTTGAGGCAGGCTTTCAAGTTCATTATGTAAAGGATGTCCACTTGGGACTGTAATGAATCAAATTATTCTCTTAACAGATTCCATCTTTATCATTCAAATTCATTAACACTTTATATGTCTACACCAACACATGGCCTGATTGTCATCCAACAATGCTGGTCAGAATGTTGTAATTAAAACAGAAACGTTGGGCTGACCAAGAAATTGAGTTGCAAAGCTATCTCATCTCATTTATACAACAAGTGTGATGATTTTGCACAGTCTTCTAGAAAGATAAATTTTCCACAGTCCACTGATATTTACTATACATTAACATCTTGGCAGTTTATAGTTTGAGCTGGTAGCATTCAGTTTTTCAGAACGGTTTTAAATGGATTGTTATTTTAGTGGCTTCTGGCAGTTATGGAAATGGCTCCCTTTTCAAAAGTTGTCAATACAATCTAACTTTTGATTAAAATGTTTTTTTTTTCTTCTAACATAGCAGAAAACAGTTGTTTGTGTCATTAGTAACAAATGTCCTCAACAGTATGGTATTCTTGGAGATACTGGAATCAAGGAATTAGTTTCTGGATTAGACAAATTAATGTCTAACAAGAATTTATTTTTTAATTATTCTTTATATGGTCATTATACATATTTCATAAAATTTATGAATTTATTTTCAAATAATCAAATATATTGGTTATGTATAAAAGTTTTTGATTTAGTCAGATTTCAAATTTATTAAATCTAAGTAGTTTGGTTTCCCTCTTTCTCTTAAATTACAAGAAGTCATTGTGATATCTTCAATTTATTGGTCCTAGAAAGATAATAGGTAGCTTACATATGTTAAATTTTGTTAAAGATTGAAATCTTACTCATGAAACTTTATGGTTTTTATCACAGTAGATATTTATTAAGCTGTCTGGCACAAGGCTATAATGAAACCTCAATCAGGGATGAATTTGCTAACAATAGGTTATGAAATGAGCTTGCTAACTTACCAGTTACCCTTATTTCAGTTGATGTATCTAAGCAATTATTTGAGAGACAGATAAATCATTCATGCTGTTTTATCTATTAATATGCCCAAGTAGCAAAAATGTCTTATGAAAGTGCAGACAGGTGACATATTGTTAAAGAAATATTTACACATCTAGAAGGTTATGATAAAATATAGTTGGAATAATAATAATAATAATAAATCATAATTGGAATCATTCAACTTTATATGGCATAGTTTGTTTACTTGTTTGAATGTCCTAATTATTTAAAACAATTTTTTTATTTTGCCATATGAAATAATTAGGCTTAATTAGGCATGATGTCATTTTACATATGAATATTGTATTTTCTGGGTGCCATAGGTAGCTGAGAAAATTTAGATTCTTTCAGTAGTCATATGTTTAAAGATATAACTATGAAGCTGTATGTATATTTTTATTCTTGTAAGCTTTATTTTCGTTTACACTGCAAGGAAAGTGTAGGAAGTAGTTTTAAATACTAATTCTGCTGTTAGTACTTTACCTACAAACTAGTATGAAACTTGTTACTTTATCTTGATTTTTATGGTCAGATATAACAAGTTTTATTTTAGTACTGCTATGGTCTCTTTTTCCCATTCTCTGGAATGTGTATTGATATGACAAAATACTAAAAAAAAGTGTCACCTCATCAATGTCTTTAAATATAGCTGGTTTGCAGATATTTAATATCTACAAAGTAATATTGTCTTTATATTTTTTGAAACTCCCTTTTACATCTTAAGTAAGGTTTTTTTTTCTCTGCATTTCCTAAAGCTTCATTTTTTTAGCTTTCAGTTAGACTAATCATTTTTTAAAATCTTATTATTAATAGTGTTTTTTATTTATTTATTTTTTTTTAATTTTTAGTTTCTTGTCAGTGTCCATGAATGACAAGTGCTCTCCCTTTGTTTTGCAAAAAGAAAAATCTTTGCTTCTCCTTTTCTTTCTTGACACACTATCCTACACACACACACACACACACACATTTACATATTAATTAATCAATTTGCCCCAAGCAAGGTAACAATGCCACTAAGACACAAGGGGTTACTAGGACTGCAAGAGAATGAAAAAAATTTTTAGAAGGAACTGGAAACCCGTTCCTAAACAGGGCATATATACTCCTGTTGAAAAGACTTGGGTGGAGGGGAGGATATGAACCGGACACTAAGCGAATCTATCTACTCCTATCAGTGAGAGAAATAAATATATATATTTATATGATTAATACAAATATAAAATTTGTCACTTAGCTGAGTGATGTCATTAAGACACTAGACATTTTTATTTTTTAGGTGATTATCTTTTTCTTTAATAAATTCTTAAAAAAATTTGCTAGAAACTATAAATGAGGTTCTTAATCTGCGTTTAAGGAAATTTCACTTTCATTTTAAACATTGATTCTTTTTTTTTTTCTTTTGTTTTACTTTGTGATATCCTCAGTACAATTTTTCTATTTATGAGAACAACAATATCTTTATTTCTAAGTTTATTTTTTGTTGGAATTTCTAGCTAATTGCTTTGTATATTTATTGGATTTCTGTATTCTAAGACAAAATTTTATTTACTTTTATTCAATCTCCACAAATGACTCCTGACTGACAATTCCCTTCAACCCACACTAAATACTAATATTTTTTGAAAGCAGACACATTAATATATTACCTAAACCATTCTGTTTAACAAGAAATTGTTATGCTATTTTTTTAACACCTGAATTCAGTATATTATTATTTGGTAATTTTAAAATTATATTCTGTTGTCATTTTTATCAAATGTTTATTTCCCCAAACCATATCATATGATCATACTCTTACCCAAAGTTTCCCCACTCTCTAATCTCGCCACACTCATTCATTATCTTCCTCTTGTTTTATTAAATAAAAATGAGACACAATCATCAGGAAGCTGTGAAAGAGAAAAAGTCTTAAAATAATGTAATGCTTTAAGATTTTCCATGAAAGGATTTTCTTTCTTTTTTTTCTTTCTTTTTTCTGAAGACATTGAAAATAACTAATATATTCTATAATCTAGTCTTTTTTTTTCTTTTTTTTTTTTTTTAATTTTTACTTTTTGCCAAAACAAAAAAAATGTATTTAAAAGAAATTTAAAAAAAAAAAAATCAAACATTTTATCAGTTAAAATGACAATTTAGAAGAATTTGTTTTAATGTTTGTTATAAAATAATTTGCGGCTTGGAAGAGTTAGATTCTAATAAGATATTTTTCATCTCACATTTAATGAAGCAAATATGGAAATTCATTCTTATTCAGTGTTTTGTAAAGATTATTGACAATAAAATACAATTCAGTAATATTGGAATGTTGCCATCAGAATGTCATATTCCAGAAATTTTTTTTTTCATCTCAATGAAGATAATAGTACCTGTTTAAATTCTATATTTAATCATTTATTTTTTTCCTCTTGAATTCTTTTTAAAAGTTTTCTTTGGCAACACATAGCAACAATTGGCCTTGGTTAGTTATTCTTTAAGAATCAGAAAGACAAAAACAAAATCGCTCTCTATTGGAGAGAAAAATTCCATCCATTCTGATTCAAGAGTCCTTACGTTCATGAAATGCTTCCTGGTAACATAAAATTGGTTCTCCACCCACTTCTCCTATAATAAAAAAGAAAAAAAAAACAACTGAGGCTGTGTGGTCAAGTCCCTTCTTCCTCCCTCCCCTACCATTTCACATGAACCATCACCATTTTCTATCCCAGATCCCTTTCTCCCCCTCTCCCACTATTTTTTTTTCTTTTTTCATCATCCTTTAAAGAAGAAAAAAAACCCACTTGATATGATAGGGAAATACTGAAGAGAAATAAATGACAAGTACGCACATTTATAATAAAATTATTCCTTGGTTTTTATTTACTTTTTTTTTTTAAATCTGGTCTCATAAAAATATGCTTTTTTTTTCCTTTTAATACAGCATTGATCTTTCAAAGATCATAGAAAATTAATGCTAAAGAATAACTGTATCTTTGATATTCTGTGGATCTTCTTTTTTTTTTTTTTTTAATTTACCTTGCCTAATTGAATATAATTTGTCTTTTTCAGAACTTCTGCAAACACAAATATTTGGTTAAGTATCTGACAAGTTCTTTAATTTGTAGCAATGGAAACAAAAACAAATGAAAGGTGGCAGGGGGAAGGGAAGGCATTCTTAATTATAGAATTTCTGAATTTTTCAAAATTTTGTTTTTTGCTCAGTTTTATTTTATTTTTTCTTCTATGAACTGAAAAGATGCTAAATGCTGTCAAATGTACTGCAAAAAGAAAAAAAAAAGCATCAAC